TTACTGAAATGGCCTTTATTTTTTAAAATTAATTAATTTATTTGTGCATACAGAACGGGGGTACATGCCAGAGGTGCAGGGACAGTGAGAGGACTCACTAGAGACAGAGTTGGAAGCCAAACAGGCAGATTGACGAAGTACACTGCTAAGGGGAGCAGCGGGCGGGTCAGGAGAGGTCTGCTGCTCCATGTGGGTCACCTCTGGGGCAGGCTGGGATTGAACTCATGCAGGAGTAGCTTTCCATTCTTAGTGCTGCACTTTAACCCGCTTCGCCACCAGGGAGGGCCTAAAATGGCCTTTTTTTAAATCGGAAAGTAAATAATGAATTGCTAAAGTGGATTTAAATGATCCATTTGATTCTAGAGTTTGTCTTATTTTCTTTGGTAATTCTTCTTTCAAAGGATATTTCCTTTACTCCCTTCCAGAAGTCAGTGCCTTTGGAATAATTTCTTTCAGCTTTATTGAAACATAATGTTATATAATACAGTATAAATTTAGGCTTCATAACATAATTCTTTTCTTATGTTATATATATATATATAACATAATATATATATAGTGAAATGATATATATTGTGAAATGATTGCCATAGCAATGTTAATTAACCTATTTACTACATCACATAATTAGTAATTTTTTGTGACGGTGGTAAGAACATTTATGATATGCTCTCTTAGCCACTTTTGAATATGCAGTTAGAATATGGGTAACTCTAGTCATGGGTCTGTATATTAGGTCATCAGAACTTATCTTTTAAATGAAAGTTTGTATGCTGTGACAAACATCTCCTCATGACTCTTCTACCCACTGCCATTCTAGTCTTTGTTCCTGTGAGTTCATTTTTTAGAGTCCATATATAACTGAGATTATACAGTATTTCTTTTTTTCTGACTTATCTCACTTAGCAACATGCATAAATAGCAGGATTTACTTTTTATGGCTGAATAATATTCTATTGTGTAAATATACCATATATTCTTCATCCATTTATCTGTCAATGGACACTTAGGTTATTTCATGTCTTGACTGCTATGAATTATGCTGCATGTGCATAGAGGTATATGCAGTTTTTCAAGTTTGTGTTTTTGTTTCCTTCAGATAAATAGCTAGAAGTGGAATTGGAAGACCATGTGTAGTTCTATTTTTAATTGGGTGGTGGATCTCCATGCTGTTTTCCATAGTGGTCGTACCAATTTATATTCCCACTTCTAGTGCACAAGTGTTTCCTTTTCTCTCCATCCTTCTCAGCACTTGTCATTTTGTTAATATCCGTGAATGAATATTTTAAAATAGGCAGGAAAAAAACTCTCCAGGCGAGACATAAGTTTTAAAAACACATGCACTAAAAGACATCTATGTCAAAATTTGTAAAGTATTTTCATTTTCTAATTACTCATAGCCCAGAAAAATTAATGTTCCTTCCAGGCAGTCTAACAGCATTTACCTTTTCCTTATCTCTAACAGTTAT